ATGGGCCTCAATTGAGTAGGCCGGGCAGAGAGCGTCTCAACAGTTCTGTTGAGCGCCTCATTTCGAGCTTGCTCACGCAAAAGCTCATCCTGAGTCTTAGTGATGGACTCATCGGTGGCTTGGCTGTTTACCTCCGACTCGTTTCTACGCTGTCCGAGCACAAACGCCTCACAATGCAAGAGGTTGACCGGGGCTTGTTCACCAAGTCCCTGCGCCATATGCTCTGCCGACTCCCTATGATGTTGGGAGAGGTGAGGGAAGTCACTCCAGTCCATGTTAAGGACCATCTTCACCACACGCATGCTCAGAGAGACGGGTCGTGGGAAGGAATACTAGTGCTACCAAGTGTAGAAGGGCACTTCTACGAAGTTGCCTCGTGCTACTAGCACACACACCTTCAGCACAAGCGAGGAAGCGGTCAGACCGTCTTACCTTCGCGTGCGAGCATGGTCATGCGGTTGGTCGACTGCTTAAGCAGTCGTACCACCAGTTGCCTCTCGCTTAAGCGAGAGTGCAACGAACTTCTAAGACAAGAAGGCACCGACGTCACGTAGAAGCTTTTCGGCTTCTCGTGCGTGGTGCTTTTGATTTAGCAAATTCAAGACTGAGCTATGTTTAATTAATTATAACTAAATATATACTTAACTACTGATTGGTATATAGATCGGATACGCGACTCTTTAGAAGCGTATCCTGACGCATGAGCTTAAATCGAGATTTAAGCTCGCTAATGACGTCCTTCTGGGACGTCGTGATGCCTAGCTTCAACTAGCGTCATCCCTTCCCATGTGAATCCATAAATGGATATCACATTCACGAGGGTGGATCACATTTGTGTATCGCACCCAAGTGACCGGTCAAAAGTAATCATAGATACTTTTAGACCAAACATTAAGTATATTAATTAATGTTTACGCGTAACTAGATGTCTTGTTACAGCTACAGCGTGACAATCTATCTGGTTTTTTTTACCTGCTTTTCTTCGACGGGGGGGGCGAGAGAAAATTCTGGACCGGGCGGAGCAGGATCCGCCTTTGTCCAACTTCACATTCAGACGCACGCAGCATGCGTCATGTGTATATCAAGCAAGGTCTACGGTTTTGCGAATACCACTAAGAATGTAGCTGAATACTGGGGGCTCGTTTACGGGCTTCGACAATCGAAGGCTAGCGGCTACTCACCTCTGCATGTCGTGGGGGACAGTGCGCTCGTGCTTTTGAAACTACTGACGCACCATCGTCCACGCAAGCCACACCTGGCGCTGCTATTCCGAGAGGCAAGATCAATTGCTGACAATATAGGTGTCTCCAGCTGGGGACACCACTATCGCTCATATAACAAAATGGCGGATCGAATGGCAAATATCGCCATGGACACTGAAGCCTCTATTTAAGTGCACGCTTCTGCAGGGGAAGGTGTTGTCACGGAGGCTTCGGCATTCCTGGACCATGATGTCAACCACTGGATGGAGGTCTCTCAAGCCGAACACCACGAACCCCAGGGACACGTGATGACGCCACGGAACCTAATCATCTCGAGTTAAGACTTTGCGCAACGGCGCTCGGCTGTCCGCGGACTAGGTTTACCTAGTACTTAACTTTGAGTCGGCCACAGTAACTCTGCTACCTGTCGACAGGATATAATGGGTCGTACGCGTACTCAAATACTCCTCACCTTCTCACTCACTCCTTCAGCGTCGCGTGTACGTTTTATTTGGGTTTAAAACGACCTGATGTCGCTACTTCCGCTCTCATACTGTACCGGCCCGCAAGTAATCATGAAGTATATGGCGGACATCAATTGTGACACTACCGTCTTCATTAAAGTCGGCCACGGCTCATGATGTAAAAGAGGCGGCCCTTCGGCATACCTCCTTGGCAGGCATATCGAGCAGCTGAAAGCCTAATAATGCTGGAACCGGTTAACCATAGCGTCGCTAGAAGTCGAGGGTCCTGGTCTTGGGTCCAACATGGCGTGATGTAAGACGGGCCCGAATCAGTAGAGCCCTATAGGAAGTCTCCGATTAGTAAATCTCTCGAAGAAGCTGTAGCTTCTCCAACAGCGGTCGCCGCCATAGTCATTAATTCCGTACGAATACACGGCACCGATAGCCCACCTTGCTGAATCGGTAATGAAGCCATCGTTGAAGGAACCCACGGTCGGGACCTTTTGCCATCGCGGACGCCCCAGACAAAGTGCATAATCAAGCTACAACCGAGTTACCATGGCGGGAGATGCCCAGCAGTGCCGTGCTAATTTGGTAATCTTGGGCACCGCGATGCGCTAGCGAGCCGAGCTCGTTGTTCCACCATGTGAGTTTTCTTTCGTGCTAATGGAAGTTCACTCCATAGAGAACGTATGTATTTAGACCAGCTGTCAGTCACCGCATCCTGTTGGCCCACAATGACACCAAGATATCTGCAGTCCGCTTGAAACCTGTACATTGAGGCCACACGTGTCCAAAGGCAGAAATGATCCGCGAGGGAATTTGCAACCACATGATGATTCATGGATTGACCCGTCTTAGAGCAAGGTCTTCTCAATAGCTTAAACTACATGGAATGGCCAATCGGCCGCAATTACACGGAAATAGATGCATCCTGCTTGAACGAGCATACATATCTCTTGATGTGACATTGGATAAGATGTAAATCTAGGCTTGTTGTAAAGATCTGCTCTCATATCTTTTTATAATCCGCCGCAGGTTTGCATCTGGAAGATTGTCTGTCAGCAACTGATTAATGATATGGCCCCGAGCCAGTAGCACAATTTTGTGATGGGTCTTTAAGCAGTGGAGGTTGTACAGTCTCACTTTTGCATTTTTGTCTTGCCGTGCACAAGTTATGAAGATACCGGCCGGGTCGAACGCAGCCTACCTTCCGGTTACCATCCTCTAGTGAATTATCGATAAAGTTATAAAGCGTGGTTGGCACCGTTTTAAAGTGACCGCGGCTGAAACGATCGGAATAGAAGTTTGCTCGTTTGGATCTCAACAGCAGAAAAGCCGAGGAATCGATTCAAAATCGAGGCCTTTCATAAGTAGATCGTTACATCGAGGAACTGTTCCTAAAGTCCCCGAGGAAGTTGTCGAAGATGATTTACTCAAGCCTTGAAAGTCGTTTTAGTGCCAATGATCTGGTGAAGCTTTTTTTTTATTGCGGAATTGTCCGACGATAGGAAACCTTTAGCCAAAGAGGTGCAAAATCAAGAGGTTCAAAGCTGGATACACAGTAAGAAAACGAATGAATAGGTTGTTCGCGCTTTTGGAATTTGACAAGACAGAAAGCGAACTTCTTCTTCGCAACCCTGCCTTTCCACAATGGTCATTCGTCACGAGCAGGCGCACGGATCCCGAAGGTCCTTGGGATGTGTTGCTTGCAGTTACCCTCGTCGATGCGAAAGCTACCATTTTTTAATTGCGCTCAAAATATGGCAGACCGATAAGAAAATTTCTGAAGATGTTTCAAGCTTTTGGATCTCACAGTAGACACTCAAATTTTTCAGATTCCCACGAAAAGACAATTTGTTGAGCTATCTGTACTTGCACGAAGGGGAAAGCGACTCGAAACTTTTGGATATTCTACAGATAAATTTTGGTCACGCATTGATTGCAAAGATGATTCATGATAGCGCCTCTGTAGACGACCGGCTGAAGAACTTGCAAGAAGCGCAATTCGAGAATTGGCGGGTTGGTATTGCTGGTGTGCCGCATGACATGGCTGGCTACGACGTTTAACCTACTGTTCAAAATAGTGGCTTCATACCTTAAATTCAATGAAGTTCGATGCATGAAATTCTATCCGCACCCTCAACCTCGAAGATTTACGAAAAAAGATGACGGACGTAAAATGGTAGTGGTGGCTGGTGGCATATTGGGTACTCTCTACCAAGAAATATACTGGGTCTGTCACTGACTGGATAGTTGCAGCGCAGGCAGGCAGTACAAAAACGAGGGCCCGCCTGAAGGCGGGCATTGTGCACTCCTACCAGCGACATAGGAGCACTGGTAGGAGGGCTTGATCGGCCACTAGTCACGACTGAAAGGCTGTATTGACCCTTATAATAAAAAAAATCTACCATGAAATATCGGGTTCCTTATCTTTTTTTATTTGTGGATGTGTGAAGTTGCTTCCTGTCAATGAACGATGCTTCTCGATTAGTGTGCTGTCATATGCGGTACTAGCACATCTGTGTAGCTTAAACAACAGCAGTGAAAGACTTTTTCGCTGCGTAGTAGTTGTATTAGGGACTGTGTATGTCAACATACCGACCTCGCGGTTTACTAATTACCACTCACTTCGGGACCGGGAGGTCACGTGTTCGATACACACGGCCGACAAATCCGAAAGTATAATGGAGGTGGGCTTGAACTGTGCATCCGTGTACTAGGTGCGTCGCCGTTAAAATACGTACCAATCCAACTGGAAGGGCAAGCCTGGTGAAATATCACTGTGTATGTCAACATGCACTTGGTTTTGTTTATGAAGTCTTGGTTGGAGCACCAACCTTGGCGTAACCGACCAAGATTATGAGCATGTGGTCTACGTTGATCGCACCAGCACATACCGGTCGGGCGGAATCATCCGTTACACGCCAGCGATCTGCTTGTTTGGGTATTTTTCAGATGTCTTTATTAAGAAGGGATTTGTTTTCATGTGGCGCTGCTATTCAAAGCAGTTTAGCAAAGCGTTGAGAACAAGTAGGACGGTCAAGTCACAATAATGATCTGCGACGCAATACACACACATATCATTGCCGCAGAGCGTAATGGCCGCTTTTGTGCACACCTGCAAGTGTTGCATTAGAACATCGACGGAATCCGTACCTATGGATCGTCATCTGGCATTGTGACTTAGCGTCTAGCTAAAATGTCATTGTAGAAGGCGGCGGTCACTTCCATGACTATCAAACATACACAGCCCGTGGCAACCAAGACGGAAGTTAAAGCAGTGTATGAATGATATTCATTGAGTACCGCAGGTTTATATCATCTACTTAAACTATCGTCCTATTGCTTGAAGCTCAATGTCGTCTCGCACCAGCCGGACATGCTGTGTAACATCGTCCTCACCAGCGTGTTGCTGCTCCACCAATTGCAACAGACACTCTGTGTGGTTCCGGTGCCGCCGGAATGCTCCTGCCAGGCTCGAAGTCTGCACAAGTGCTTGAAGGACGCGCAAACGGCAAATCATGACTGACACTTGTTGTTGCGCCATCAAAAGCTCATCCAAAAAGCTGGCAAATATGCTGATCTCTCCAAGAACTAGAGTCGATACGCAAGTCTTTACAAGTGATCGCTCCTGTTCGCGAGAGTCAATTTCCTCCGGCGCTGACGACTGCTCACCTGCCAATGATGCAGTGTACTTTGCCAGAACATTCACGCTTAAGCCCACCAGCTGTCGCTTCATCTCTGCAGGAATGTCTGAGCGTTGTTGATGAGCCTCAGCGCTACCAGTTGTAGCGGAGGACACGCATGTGCAGTATAGCAACATCAACGTGTGCAGCTCCATCGAGTTCATCCCTTTACCAGCTTGAGCCTTCGCCAAAGTTGGTGCTAAAATTTTCGGAAGCAAGGTACCCAAGTTCATCGCGATAAAAGTATGACAAACATGATGAACAAGCTGTAGCTGCTGTCGCTGCTGCTGAGCATTTGCCTTCGCTGGTGCAAGCGCTGTGCTAACGAGGAAACTCACGAAGTGAGCAAGATCCAAAGCTTCACGTCGCTGGAACAAAATGTCTACAAGAAAGCTTTTGGCCTCGCTATGGATGCGCGGGCTTTTGCAACAACTGGTAAGCGCACGCAGTAGAGACACAGGATACCGGGGTAGATGATACACGAGCGACACAAAGGCTAGCTGGTCCGCCGAATCCAAAGCGTCGAACCGCGTCCTCGACAGCATTTTTTGTTGCTCGTCTTCTGACATCGAAGAAGAAGGCAATGCTGCCAAGTCAAAGAAACTCGAGAGATTCGCCAACACGCCATCCATTTGATCACCCCTCGTAAATTCACCAGGAAGCTGTTTGAGAACTGAGATCAATGCAAGCAAGCTGCGCCTACCAAGCTCCATGTGCTGAGGATCGAGTTGACCTAGAAGATCAGCAAGACACACCACCCACTGCATAACCATTGGCCACGCTAGCTTTCGACTTTGTTGCTGTTGTCTATGCAACGCAATCTCTAGCTGCTCAACGACAAATGCTGTGCAGCTGCGGAAGCTCACCGATTTTGGTGTGCAAAGCACATAGAACTGAGTCACCGCGTTCAGTAAGCAAGTACGTTCGTCAGCTATCTTCTCAGACGCCGAGGAATCGATATGCTCCGAAGCTGAAGCCAAGATAAGAGCGACAACTTCCAGGAGGGGCTGGAGCACATTCTGCATACTAGCGACGGCGCGGAGTTCAGGCGTTTTCGTGTACTTTGCAAGAGTTGTGACGACATACGTGCATACACGTTGCTCTAGCGCCTCACTTTGAAGATCCTTACCAGAGCTACGCATTAAAGCAGGAACGCAAAGGTATTCACATGATAATTTGGCGAGCGACGCATTCATACCATGCCATCTCGAAAGAATCCCTGAGTCATCTAAAGCTGCAGCAAGGGCCGCACTCGCACCTGGCAGCATCGGGAAACTATCTGGCGCTAGAAGTTTTTCATGTAGCTTCAGCGCTGCCTGGAAAAATTCATTGGTTTTAGCCTCTTCCGCATCAATATTCAACATATCCCTGTTAGCAACAATCACAGCAGTCGTGCATTCCACAATGTACTTCATGTGCTCGACATGCACGTCCGACAGCGCGTCAGTGCTTCCTTCCAAACACTCTAGCCACAACTCCAGCAGTGCAGGTAGCAGTGCTCGCACCTTCTCCTGCCACGAAGCACTGGCTTTCACTCCAGCGCTCATCGTCAAAGAAGCAGCAGCAAACATGCCTATCTGAACAAATTGCGGGGTCGGATACAAAAGAAGCGTCTTGGTGGTTGTCACAGAAGCAGACCGAGCACTTCCAGCCACCCCAATTTTACTATCACTCCGTCTTGCACTGACCGACAATAGCAGCTTATGCAGCACTTTGAGTGCCGCAAACCTCAGTGCCAATGCTCCCGATGGCGCGTGTAGTTTCTTGTTACTTTTTTGCTTGCCCTTCTGATTGCTTTTCTTGCGTCCATCCGCTCCCTTTTTACTCGTTGTCTTCGAGCCAATCAACAAATCGTACGTGTTCATCATCTTAATACCTTGAGTCTGCGCGGCACAAATCAAGTCTCGAAAGTTCTCCAGCAGCCTGGCCAAAGCTTCTCGTCCTGCATCTTCCTTTAGCAATTCTGGTGCTTCATTCACCAGTTCGCCAATGGCTTTCAGTGCGTCCTGCCGAACACCCACTTGCAAATGAGTCAAGCCACTGCAGAAATAAGTGGCCACTAGTGTTGCAAAAGGAGCCAGGACATTGCGAAGAACCGGTAGCATCGCCTTCCACGCCTGGACTGCCGCGTCACGCACTACGCCCTCCTCGTCCAATAGAGTGGGCAGGAAGCGCTCGAGTAACACGGACGCGTTGGCTCGTAGATTGCCAGCCGTCGCCTGATTCGCTAATTCCTTTAGACCTTGCAGGGCACGCTGTCGTACGTGTGCATTGTAGTGACCAGCTTGTTGCAGCAGCTCCGGCAATGCTTGACAACGGTGTGTCAATTGGGCAGCCCCTACCTTATCTTGTAGAAGAGATTGTTCGAGCAGATTGATACGACGTGATGTGATACCAACGGAGGTGACATTGGCAGCAGGTGTGGCACGGCGACCGACCTTGCGCTTGAGCCGCTTAAAGTCCGCTGGTTTCTTCTTGTTCTTGGTGGCAATTGCAGTCCGTACCATTGGTGACAAATGGCTGTTTCGAAGATGGTGCTTTGGCTGGTCGTTGAGATCAGAAATTGGATTGGACAAAATGGTGTGTTAGGTGGAGATGACTAAAGGAGTGGTGTTGTAATAGTAGTGAAACGTTTGTGTAACTGCGTTTTTACGCGCTATGTAACAACACAAAACTTAAACAGGTTTTTAAGCTTTTTACCTGACGTGGCTTTGGGCATTTGAAACCGCGAATGCCAACGCATAGAAGCAAGTCTTTCGAATATAAAACGCAATAAGATGGGGTGCAGTCGAAGAACTAGTTAGAAGGCGCTACAGATTACTGGAATACAAGTGAAAGCGTCTAAATCATTAGGTATATTCAACTGCTTATGGCGTAGCAAGACACCAACTATCTTGTCTAGGTGTCTAGATGCAGAATTCGGCCGGCATATGAAAAAATGTATCATCTTTCAGGAACCTGAATAAGCTCACGTGATACCAAATACGTGTTGCCGGGAGTTAACTAAAGAATACCGCCGATTCGAATTCGTCACGAAAGTTTTGTAACGGGTTATATATTATATAGTGTAGTAACACGGATTAAAAATTGCGCAATACGTACACCAGATTGCAGGGCCACTCATTCCTGTGCATATATTACTATATGCTAGATAGTAAAGCTTCCATTTTTACACATAAGCAAAAGTAGCTCCCATAAATTTAGCTCGTTTTAATCGCATCGTCGTAGTCAGAAGATTTTCAAAACCTTTAGATTTAAACCTCTTCGCAGGCCACAGCTTGGACTACATTGAGAAACGGACCATGTGAGTAACGGAGGAGTCTGTTACATAGTACAGTATTGACACTTATATGAAGTGTCAAGTAAGATGTTATTTTAGCTAATAGTATTTAAGAATATTACTGTAACTTTTCCTAAAATATTGTTCCTTCATCTCCTTACAGTTGGAGATGCCCTCTGATTGGTTATATAGGCCATTATATTAATCAGGGTGCTGAACAATGACAGATGGACGCGCGCAATGAATGGAGTGTAAGTTGTCAACATACATAGTGAAAGTTTAATATAGTTAAGAAAAGGTTATAACAGATTAGTTTTATTAGATTGGTTTATCTATATCAAATACAGTTCTCTTTTCTATTACAACTAAGTGCGTCACTTAGTCGTATAGCTTCCTTTGCCTCCGTCCGTGTACGTGAGGTTTCGAGGCATCTGCTTTCACTGTCATCAGTGAAAGTGAATCATACTCTGAGAGTATAATCAGAGAATACCCCACGACACCTGGTAGCACTTCGTGGTCTGTTTAATGACCACCATATTATCCGCTATGACACCAGCGGATAAAGAATGTCATCACGCAACGTGTGATGACTTCTGCCATTTGAATAATCTCGAATATGATGCGGTTCAGAGATGGCTGAAACCATCGGAAACCCTGCCGTTGGTGCCATGTTGCTTTCTCTTAGCGGAGACGACCAACATGTAACCATCACCAAGTTCATACAACATGAACTTGACCAAGTTGTAAGAAACTCACCTTGCTACAGGAGCAAGATTCTCAACAGGTTGACCTGTTGAAAAGACAAGGCGCTCAACAAGCTGACTTGTTGATGCAGCAGGGTGCTCAACAGTCTGAACTGTTGAGACAACAGCAGGCTAGTGCTGTTGCTACCGGGTAGACACATATATGTCGACCCGAGTCCTTGAAGATTGATGTCTCCAAGTACAAGGCAGTCGAAAGCGACTCCTTGTTAAGATGGTTCGTCGAACTCGACGATGCCATTGAGACTCGTCGCATAGATGACGATGCGATGAAGGTCAAGTTCGCCATGTCGAACTTGGCAGGACGTGCTAAAGATTGGGCCTTAGGGCTCAAACTGCACAACCCATACGTTTTCCCAACATATGACGTCTTCAAGGCACGGCTCAAACACACGTTTGAACCGCCTCGCGCCGAATTTAAGGCTCGGGCTGAGCTCCTGGATTTGAAACAGGGTAAGCGTGATATACACGCTTACGCCCAACACGTACGATACCTCGTTAGCTGTATCGTTCTGAACCCAATCGATGAACACACGCAGGTTACTGTGTTCATTAAGGGTCTGACGGATGGGTTCGTCAGACCCACCTGTTCCGCTTGGAAATCGAATCGCTGGATCAAGCGATCTCTGCAGCGGAACAGGTAGACTTTAGCCTACAACAGGCTCACGTCCACTCGGGGTCCTATCGTCCACCGAGGCGACAGGAGGGTGGAGGTCCAGAGACAAAGGACCTCTCCTATGTAGAGAGCGAGCGACCTCACTATTTAGGATACAAGTGATTGCAAAAGTGCAAACGCTGCCAGAAGATAGGTCAATACGCCTATGATTGTAGCGCTACACGCCCAGTGTCTCGTAACACTGGGAGTGACGATCGACCGTCTGCCATGAAGGGCCAGAGACGTGGGTCCCACGTTGCTGCGAAATCGCAACAACGTGGTGGACCATCAAAAAACGGTCGGGGTCAGTAGGGTTGGAGCGCCCTACTGATCCAGCAACGTCAAGAGAGTTCGCGGGACTCTTGACGAAGGTTGCTCTTAACACACAGTAACTGTGTGTTGCCGCTCCCAGTGATGAGGATCGAAGTGACAAAGAACATGTCACTTCGCGCCCTAGCTGATTGTGAGGCTTCGAACAACTTTGTTCGACGCCAATCGCTAGATGATCGTAGGCTCCAATATGTTGAGCGCGAGACCCTTCCAACGAGGATGACGGTGCGCCTTGCAACTGGCGCATCCGTAACAGTAAAGAAACGTGTAGTGGGAATTCACTACACGCTTGAAGGCAAAAAGTACGATGATGATTTCATCGTACTTGATCTGGATGACAAATTTGATGTCATCCTAGGATTACCATGGCTCAGAAGGTACGAGCCATGGGTCAGCTGGCAGCATCGAACCGTGAAGATGCCTGCCGCTTGTTCATCAGATGGCCATCTGATGAACGTCTTGGAGCGTTCACAAGCGTGTGAATGTATTACGAGTGTGTGTGATGGCCTCACTTGTGGTTCGGTCGTTAGTACGACTGCACAAGAACTCAGCGTGACAGACAGTCACGCTGTGGAGCAAGCGGCCGGCGGCTGTGCACGAGCCCAGGCAGCGCCAAAAGTTCTACCACTAGAATAAGTTGAGCGTATCGGGACATAAATGCTTGCCTAGAGGACAGCATTCACCGAAGAGTAAACCGGTTGCCCAGAAGAGGCAACACGGTAATCCTAGATCAACTGGAGAGTTAATCATAGAGGATCTCGCTGTGGTTGCGCCACCACAGCTAGAGGAAGTCGATGGAATAAGCTCTATCGAGCCTGCGGGAATAAGTCCCCAGGAAATAATCACTGAGGGAATAAGTCCCCAGTGCTCTGAGGAATAAGTCCCCAGGAAGTAACCGAGACGTTGAACGTCTTGGTTACTGACGGATAAAACGTAGGCGCTTATACGCTTGATCTGATCGCGCCTCCGAAGTTAAATTCGGAGATAACTTAGTTGCCTACGCTAGAAACTAAAAGGTTCTTGCGTGATCTGCGTAGTGGCAAAGTCAAGCAGATCTGTGTGCTCGTCGCAGAGGACGAGTACATCACTGACATTCGGTCAGCAACAGTTTTTGCCGAGAAAGAACGGGTTCTCAGCAGCTCATCAATGGAGTGTCCTAATGAGAAGATTTAATTGAGCGATACACATCGCATTCCTGGGAGTCACTGAATTCAAATCCTTTGTATAAGAATTTAGTCGAATGCAAGGATCTGCTCTCTAAATTTGTACCGTAAGGAAAAAAGTACTCGACACGAGAACGACCTAGTTCCAGGAACTAAATATTGTGTCAAGAAGCAGTGGCCGCTGCCTCAATAACAGGTCGAGGCGATCGACGAATTCTTTGCCGATCGCCTAGCTGCGGGCCATGTGACTTCATCTCACAGCTCTCCGACCTTCTGTGTGCGCAAGGCCACAAGAGGGTTCACTATGGAGGTATGCCTCCTTATGCGCTCTTGATGAGGTGCTCACGCACTCCGGGCAAGAGTCGCCTCGAATAAGGCATAGCAGTCCAGCCTTTCTTGACAGTAGATGCAAGCGATAGCATCCACCGGATAATCTTCGTTTTCAAATTTACTGCGATTAGCAGTAACATTTTAAAACCAAACATCACGCCTAATATTATGAACGTGAGAACATATGCGTTCCAAAGGTTGAAAAAAAGCATCAGCTTCACGCTTATGGTGTGGGCTGTACCATTTTATGCTGAAGGAATGCAGCGATGTAAGTCATTTTCAGTGCGAAAGTTTTTCACACTGCCTTCAAGGCCGTGAAGCTTTAATGTATGGAGCAACGGAATCGATAATTGTTCGCTGTTTATTTTAAATTAAGAATCTATCAGATGCTTGGATAGCATCCACGGTTTCTGATAAGGAGCATGAAGCAATACATTGCGATCGAGAGACTCCTGCGTGGTTTCAGCAGAAGTATCGAGTACGCATAGTGATGTCAGTAGAAGTGCTGACACCACTCATAGTGATGCAGTAAAAATACTGAAATAACTAAAAACACATCCAGTCGAGTTAAATTTACTCGACTAGATTGGCAAGTCGTCTGATTCATCAGACGACCCAAACCATTTACGATATTTTGTTTTACTCAATGAAATACGGTCCCTTTAATTAGGGACAAAATGAAGCAGCACCTTGGGGCGAGCCTGGGAGTGGAACAGATGGTTTTGAATTGAATGCATTATCCGACTCACCAGAGTAATTCTGGGTCAACATCATTACGTGGCGAAGTGCCAAGTGAACCTTGCAGGCTGATCTTGATGTGCAGCAGACATATTAGTGTCTGCTGGCTGAGACTGTGAAGCCTCAGTAGCAGCTGCGCATAAGCGTGCAGCCAAGTTCTTGACTGCCTTGTCAGCGACGCGCATTGAATTAGTCATTGCGTTGCAGTTTGCTAAAATAAAAGATAAAACGAACAAGTGCTCCCCTCCCA